CGCTCTCAGGCTTTTCCAGTTCTATCAGATACTGTAAGATAGAAAGGCATATTCCCTGCTCTGTTACACAACATCAAACTTGCAATGGAGATAGTGAACTTCCCTTTAACTAAGCCCTTATAAGTGAGTGGGAAGCAAAGAAAAGTTTTCAAAAAAACGATATTCCTTTTTGCAATAGTAGTATGAGAAACTCATTAAGTTCGTTGATTAAACACATTAATTGATTTTACATTTACAAACGGATATCTTGCTAAAAAATGTGCTCAACTCCAGGAGCTAAAACTACTACAGTAAAACTCCATTAGTCCGGCATCCAATGCTCCAGGACTCCTGATGGTCCGGCACCATCAGGAACCCGGAAGTGCTGGGGCAGCTGGACAGGCTTCCCCCATTCAGCTGCTGCTGAAACTGACCAGCAGCTGAATCAAGGAAGCCGGGAGCAGAGCAGCTGGGGTGCTGCCGGGTTGGTCTCATAGCACTGCCCCTCGGGGACGCTCGGGGGAGTGCTGCTCTGCCCCAGGCGTCCCCAAGTCAGCCGCTGCTGAAACTGACCAGTGGCTGACTACAGTGGCTGGGGTTCTTAAGTTGAATCTGTATGTAAGTCAGAACTGGCGTCCAGATTAAGCCGCTGTTGAAACTGATCAGTTTCAGCAGCGGCTGAATCTGGACGCCCGTTCCGACTTACATAAAGATTCCACTTAATGCTGCGGGACCAACCCAGCAGCACCCCAGCTGCTCTATTGCAGGCATCCCGGTTTCAGCTGCTGCTGAAACTGACCAGCAGCGGCTGAATCAGCGACGCCTGGGGCAGAGCCAGACTATCGTATGGGGGGGCTATGAGAGATCTGGGGTGGCATCCCCTCCCACCCCACTGCAGAGCCCTCAGAGCCCCCCCTTCTGATAGTCCGGCATATCTGATAATCCGGCACTCCCTGGGTCCTAAAGGTGCCGGATTATCGGAAGTTTACTGTACTTAAAAAAAAAAAAATAGAATGACACTAACAGTTTCAATATCTGCAGGAAACAAAGAAATGGACTCAGATTCTATCCAAAGAGCCAGAAAGGACAAGGGTGTTAGTTTTTAAGGTTCATTTTAATAAGAATATGTTCTTCATTGTATTAATGGGGAAAATGTTAGCATGGCTCTTCTATATGAAGAATGCCATCAGTTCTGTTTTAACACTATGAATGCCATTTCCCCAATTCTTCAGTTCCCTGTGAAAAATTACATCTGTAACATATCCAGAAAAGTGAAACAGATTGAATAACAAAAGGGCCATAAGAAGGGCCCCTCTCCCCCTGCATATTGCAGTACTACCCTCCCCTAGCTCCCTGCTTTAAAGAAAAAAAATGATACTAGTAACTCTGGAGTCAATTTTGCTTCTATAATACGGTCGAATTAAGTATTTTCTCCCTTTGTTATCCTAGTTTAACTGAGCATATTTTCAGCCCATTCTTTACATTAACATGTCTTTTTAAAGATTCTACCATTTAACAGTTTCAAACAACGAAGGGAGGCAAGAAAACTCAAAGTACTACTTCAAATGGATGGAGGCTCTTTATGGGAAACAGAATCTCACCATTTGATCGTTTCACACTGTTCAGGAGAGAGAAGGCATCATAATCTATCATAAAGTAGGACTCTGCAGGGAATTGACAAACAGCATTGATTTCTTACAGCATGCATAATTCTTGCTTTTTCTGCTACCTAACAAGAAACTTGTTCCTTCCCATCCCAGGGACACTGAAATCCACCATAAAGGTATAGCAGTTCTAGTATAGCTTATTCCTGTTCTCGGAGAGAAATAGCTATACTGATAATAGAATATTAAAACTGGAAGGGACCTTGAGAGGTTATCAACTTCAGCAGTACCCTGCCCTCACAGCAGGGCCACAAATCATTCTAGATCATCCCTGACACGTTTATCTTACCTGCTTTTAAATATCTGCAATGATTAAGATTCTACAACCCCCTTAGGAAATTTATTCAAGTGTTTAACCACCCTGACAGTTAGGAACTTTTTCCTCATGTCCAGCCTAAACCTCCCTAGCTGCAATTTAAGCCTACTGCTTCTTGTCCTATCATCAGAGGTCAAAGAGAAAAAAAATTCCTCCCTCCTCCATTTAGCACCCTTTTGGGTACTTGAGAATCACTATCATGTCCCCTCTCAGTCTTCTCTTTTTCAAACTAAACAAGCCCAATTCTTTCAGTCTTCCCTCATAGGTCATGTTTTCTAGGCCTTTTAATATTTTTTGTTGCTCTTCTCTGGACCCTCTCCAATTTCCACACATTTGTATTGAAATGGAGTGCCTGGAACTAGACAAAATACTCCAATTGAGGCCTAATCAGTGCAGTGTATAGCAGAAGAATTATTTCGTGTCTCTCAACACTCCAGTCAATGCATCCCAGAATCATGTAAAAAAAGCAAACAATATCACTCTGTTGACTCATTTAGCTTGTACCCACTCAGACCTCTAAATCCTTTTCTGCACTACTCTATCCTAGACAGTCACTTCCCATTTTGAATACTTGAAACTTATTGTTCCTTCCTAAGTGGAGTACTTCGCATTTGTCCTTATTGAACTTCATCCTATTTATCTCTGACCATTTCTCCAGTTTGTCCAGATCATTTTGAACTATGACCCTATGCTCTAAAGCACTTTACAGCCCCTCCCAGCTAGGTATCACCTGTAAACATAATAAGTGTACTCTCTATGCCTATATCTAAATCATTGATGAAGATACTGAACAGAACCAGTCCCAAAATGGATCCCCAATGAACCATATGCCCTTCCAGCATGCCTGTGAACTATTGACAACTATTCTCTGAGAACAGTTATCCAGACAGTTATGAACCCACCTTATGGTAGCCTAATCTAAGTTGTATTTCCCTGATGTAATGCAGCTTTAAACCAGTTTATCCACATGAATAGTAATATAAATTTACACTTAAATTATATTGGCATCGTTAAAGCAATGCAACTTTTTTTAAGTTTAGAGAAGGCTCTTGTCAGCGCAATCAGTAACAACAATGGCCAAAACTAATTTTTCATGCTTTCAAAGGGGGAAAGAGAAGTCACCTGCAAGCCAGATATGACTATTATGTTAACCGAATTACATATACAGAGACCTTAAGTAAAAACTGGACTAAAAATGCACAAGAACTCAGCTATCACAAACACTAAACCTCTGAACATTTAACATTCATTTCCAGCTCCCTCACTCAACACCATTTAATGTTCATACAGGAACAAAGATAGTAACTCTAATATTCCTTAGATCCCTATATGCAATATATAGGTTTTCACTACGAGCTAGCCATTTAAGTAACCTGAACTTGCACTGGACATTCACAGTAGCTGTAGGAAGGGACCTCATTATGAAAAGCAGATCCAAAAGAGATAGTCAGAATCTTCACTTCTAATTTTCTGAAATCCCTTGAATCTGAAGGAAGAAGTGATGCTATTTCTCCAAAAAGAGCATAAGGTCAAAGGGGTAGAACATCAAGATGTAGTATTGTCTCATTCAAAGGCTTTGAATGAGTACCCAGGGTTTATCTACCCCAGTGGTGGAAAACCTAAGGCCCGGGCTCAGGACTCCCCATAGCATTAGGGAGCCCATGCTAGCACCCCAACCACCACCCCTTCACTGTCCCACCATGGGGCTGGAGCACACAAATCTACTAGCCTGGGCCCCTGTAGGCTCTGATGTGTGAGGGGAATGTAGGGAGTCTCTCTCTCCTTCTCAGTTGGGGGCCACATCAGTAAGAGTTTGGGGAGGGGTTTGTTTTTTGTTTTGCTTCTCACTTGTGTGTGGCCCCGGACTGATTTTTCTGTGGACCAGAGGCCCTCAACGCAAAAAAGCTTCCCCATCCCTGATCACCCCAATGCTCTGGATGGCCAAGTCAAATGGTGCTACAGACAACGGTATTTACGCCTTTTGTAATCAATATATCCAGCATGACCAGAATTCTGTCATTCTGTCCATATTCTCAACCTAGCCCCACATTCCCAAAGAGAGAACATATACCCCAGTGTTTTCTATACCAATGAGAGGAAAAACAACAATTACATAAATCCTCTAAGTGACTTCACTACTGTCAGCACCTACAAAAAGCATTTGGATATGATAGGCAGCATTCAACACTCAAGAACTGGTAAGAACAGAATAGGTCTAAAGTATCTATTCTAACATTGCTCCACATACTGGTCTCTGATGAGCAGCAGGTGCAGCCTACCTTGCATAAAGCTTTTTTGTAATCTACTCTCCAGTTCCAAATGGGAAGCTTTTTCTGGAGAGTGCAAGGGCATGAGCCACCCATTTTGGGGAGGAGGTTTGCCCCAGAATTCAGAAGTTCTCCCCCTACTCCCCGATAAAGTGAAGTATTTAACAAGTCTAACATTCCAAATAAGCCTGAATCTACAGGGACATACCTCCAGCACTGCTACTGCTAACAGTGTACCTTTGCCAAGCCAAGAACCTCACATAAGACTGCCTCAGTTTCACCCTGCTGCTCAAAACCTTGCAGACAAGTGTGACCTGTCAGGAGCTGTCAGTTTCACTCTGCAGCTGTCTGAAAAAGCTCACCGCAAGAAAGGAAGCACTCGACCAACTTACAGGGAATAAAAACCTGAGAGAGGCATGCCCTGATAGTCAGGCCTCCTGACACAGAGAGGCAGCACTCTGGAGTCTAAGGAAGGGAAACTGTACTGAAACCAGCAGCCAGAAAGCGTGGAGATGGAGTCCTCTCCTCTGCACAGGGCATATGAAGAGTAGGGCACCTAGGCTCCTCAGCAACGCGCTGCCCGGTCCATCTCCAGCGGGGCCCACCCCCGGATTCAGAGGCGCCCAGCAACCTGCCGACAGGCTGCGGGCGCGGTTGGCTATGGGCCAGGCGCCCGAGCCGGAGAGAGGAGGCAGGCACCACACTCCAGGGACGGGGTTGGTCATGGGGTGGGCGCTGCGCGCGGCTCCCCGGGGAGGAGTTGGGGTCCCGTACCCGCGGCTCCCCGCACAGCAGCAGCAGCTCGGGGTAGCTGAACTCCACGCAGCTCTCCTCGGTGGGGTCCTTCAGCACCACCTCCA